CCGGGGGGCGGGGGGCTTTCTGGGCTGCCAGCGCACATTGCCGGCTCACGTTGAGCTTCTCATCCAGCAGCATCCCCAAGTCCTTCTCCTCAGGGCTGCTCTCAGCCACTCTCCGCCCAGCCTGTACTTGTGTTTGAGTATCTTGTGTCTTACTCTAGGGATGAATATCTTATTCACAGTTTGGCCAAAGTCCTCTTGACCTTCTCAGATGTGTTTTGGGGCAAATGCCCATGGGAGGGGGCAAGTGGAGGAGCTGGTGCCAGCCCACTGGTGCTGCTGGAGGGCTGCGATAGGCGTCTGGCGTGCGATACGGGTGGCCGAATGCCCCCCAAGCAACTGCTGCGGGTGCTTCTGGGAAGGACAGGTTCATTACTGCGCTCTGGTCGAATTCAGATGTTCTTCCGTTATTCCAGCTTCAACCATCTGTGCATTTGTTGTCTTGAAAGTGCGGGTGCGTTCCAGGGATTTCACCTTGTAAGGAACTGCTTTTGGGGTGAGATCGCCTCTAAACGTTTGAGCTCGCTTGCTCTGTTTTTGGGATGGAAGGGAAGAAAGTTGACATTTAAAATGTTTTATAATGACTGTGATTGTTTCAGTTGTTACAGATCAATCATGCTTGTTTCTTCCCTGAAGCTGCAGCACCCGCATGCCGAAGCAGCCACCTGGTTTGCGGTGTTTGGAGTCGTTCTCGAGTATTTCGTTGATACGGGTCCCGTTCCACCGCAGAGCTGTAGCTGATGGTAGCGCCGCGCTTGGGGGAGGGAGGGAGAAAGCTTAAAACTGAAGTGACCTAAAAGCAGAGGCCAGCATTTTTGTATTGGGGGTTTTTTTTTTCTGGATTATTTAAAACACCAGCACTCACAAAAAATTTCCCCCTGCAGCTTGCAAATACCCAAATTCAGGGTTATGTGTTTGTCTGCAGCTGCCACAGAGGTCCCAGCCGAACCGGGCTTGGGGCTGCAGCATCCCCCGGTATGGCCGGGGGGGCTCTGAGCCTGGGTCTGCTCTCGGCATTTCAGCTGCAGGGAGACTCTGAAACTCCGCTGAACAGCGCTCGGATGCTTTTCGGCCCCTTCCCCTGACGCGTTGGGATAATGGACATTTACACAATGTTGGGTTTTAAATGGGTGTTTGACTCTTGTCAGGTTGGAAATTGGCAGCCCCGAGTTTTGCTTCAGGTGAATTTGCTCTGCAGCCATGAGCAAGTCCGGACCGGCTTGTCCCTGAGCACCAGCTGTAAGAAATGGTTTAAAAACCCCGTGCTTGGTCTTTGGCGTCTGTAGCCAGCAGGGATTAGGCACCTGCAGCGGCCTGACCCTGGCACCGACTTCTGTGGCACCCCTCAAGATTAAACTGCAAGCGCTGGCTTGAACTTCTCAGGCAAGCGGTGGTCTGCAAACTTTTGTGTTCGTTTTCAGTAATAGGAAACCGATGCCAAAATGTTCATTTGAATGTTGAAATTCAGCATTATATATATATATTTTTCCAGTTTATGTCCTTCCTCTTGCGCTTGATCTGCTCGTGCCTCCCAAGTCGCGAGCAAGGCTGGCGCAGCAGATGCTTCCAACCACAAAACTTTGCTCTGCTCTGGGCGCGTGCCCTGTGCTGCCCTTCCAAGGGCTCTGGGCTGCAGGCGTCTCTTCTCCTGCCCAGGGAACTTCTTCCTCCTTACTGGATTTTAAGTCTCTGAAGAAGGTTTGGACTTGCCATGCTCTCTTAAATGCTAGGATGTTAGAAATACAGTGGGCGTGCAACGCTTTCTCAGCAGTCCATGGGAAGCTGCAAGGCGGAAGGTCTGGCCTGTCGCATGAGCCCATCAGTCCTGTCCACAGCCAAGAGTGAAATGAGCCTGATTAAAACAAAATCCCCTTTCCTAACCTGCCGTCGTATTTTCTTTCTTGTTGGACATTTCGTGCAGGGTGTACAGGCCGCTTGTGTTTACAGAGATGAATGCGTATTTTCATTTGAAGGGTAGGAATTAAGGCAGCTTCCTCACAGAACCAGGAATGAACCCAGGGCTCTTCAAAAATCAGGATAAATCCTAATCCGTGGAACATATATGCTGCAATATCTGTCAAATGCCATGTCAACCTGTCTGCTGTTGAGTAAATGTATTGAATAAAGCAGCGTAGCACGGTATGGAGTGGGTTTGGGGGGCAGTCCTCGGGGCCTTGAACCCTCAGGTGGCCTTCAGGAGGTTGGACGCGATGGCCATCGGAAGGGCGGCATGCGGAGCGGCTCAGTTTGGCAGAGACCTGCCGCGGGATGCGAGTTGGTTTTGAGCTCGGGTACCTCAGGTTCCGCCCTTTGTGAGTGATGCGTGTTCTTTCCCTCTCTCTAGGTACGGCTTTGTGGAGTTTGACGATCTGCGAGATGCAGACGATGCTGTGTATGAGCTAAATGGTAAAGATCTCTGTGGGGAGAGAGTGATCGTTGAGCATGCCAGAGGCCCACGTCGTGACAGCACTTACGGTTCTGGACGCAGTAAGCACTAACATGCATTTGTACCCGTGACTTATTTTAAATAAAACATATTTTGCTATTTTTTTTTATAAAAAGTAATTTTAAAAGAAAATGATATCAAGTTGTGAATAGTGTTCTGTAACTGTAAATGTAACTGTTGATCTGAATATTTATTAACTTGTTTGTTGTATTAAACTATTTTAATTGATAAATTAATAAACACAATTTCTTGTACCATTTTTATTATTATCATTTCGTGTAACTATTTGAATGGTTTATTTGCAATGTGCTGTTTAACATAGACTTAACAAAGACCTCAATGTTTTAATTAAAAGAGTCCTTTGAGGCTAAGATGACTGCCCGTTCCATTTGCTGACCTTGGGTTACCTTTCCATGAGTGGCTTTGACCTTTGTGGCCCTTGGCTGACCAAAAAAAAGGAAGCCATGTGACGACCGCAACCTTTTCCCATTAGACCTGGGTGGTGAGGATCCCAAGGGTTAGAGACAGATGAGATTAATCTGAAATAGGTGCCTGAAAAGCTTTATTCATGTCAGATATTCAGAAAGCCTTTAAGCAATGTAAGTAACATTAGTAAACTGGCTTAATTCGGTTTCTTCTTTCAAACTGTTTTAAAAATAGCTTAAATTTAATTGCATGTTAATCATAGCATAATTATATGCATTGTTTTAATTATGTGCTTGCAGTAATTTTTTTTTTTTTAAATGCTTTGGATCTTTGTAAAATTTTATACAAGGGGGATTGAATTTAGAGTAGCGGGTGGGTGAATTTTTAATGCCTTTGCGATCATACGGGGCATAAGAGTTTCCGTCCGGGATGTAGAGCGAGCGCTCCATTTCCCTAGTTGAAGTACTGCTGTCTGCTTGTCACCTCCTAAAGGTGGATATGGTTATAGAAGAAGCGGAAGAGATAAGTACGGTCCTCCTACCCGTACAGAATACAGATTGATTGTGGAAAATTTGTCAAGCCGCTGCAGTTGGCAAGATCTGAAGGTATGGGGCCCCTTTCTTTACCCTCTCTCTATTAAAGAGCGCAAAGGGTAAAAAAGTTAGCTTCCATTTCAACAAGGAGAAATGGTATACACCTGTGTTCTTGACTCCAACCTGTTAATAAGTCCGTGTGCTCTTATGCATACAAGTAGATTTTGGAAGTAATACACGCATTAAGTCAATACAGAAGTGTATTTGTGTATACAAAATCATTAATGCGACATTGGGAGTTGCACCTGCAGACTGGGTGTCAGAGGGGACACAAAACAGTGTCCCGTACAGATGTGTTTTATCTTATCTTAAGCCCTGTCAAAACAGACTTTAATGGTGCCAGTGGCAGGATTCGCTAGAGATGGAGGAGCTCACCCTTGTCACTTTGCATTTTACTCACCAACTGTAAGGTGCTAGAGCTCTTTGGAAACGATAGCATCGTTCTTGCACAGTCTCTGTTAAGAATTTCCACACCGTGTAAAGCTGTTTTAAAGAGAGTTTCATGGAAAGGATGCTTCCAGAATGAGCAATCATGGAAAACCTCTGCCAAAAGCTAGTATTTTCTCCAAGTCCAAAGGAGTGGAAAGTGATTCTCGGCAGTGGAAGCACTGTGTAGCCCACAGTACCTCTGAGTGTGCTGGAGGTGAAGTGTTGACTCGTGATGATCTGTATCGTGGAGGGGGGGCAGGACAGGGAGCAGAATTTCAATTGTAGGTGCAAAAAGGTAGTGTTTCCTTATTGGACTTAGCAGCAATGGTTAAAAACACTTGTTCTTACAGGACTGCTTTCTTTTACGGTTCTCTTTGAAGGATGTGTAAAATTTGTTCTAAACAAACTTTGACGTAGTAGAAACTGGTCTGTAATTGAGTGTGTAACACTAGCTCAGGTACGTACTGAGATTCTTCAAATGTCTTTTGTTGTTAACGCTTCACACCATCAATAGCTTGTCTTTGCTTCTGGTATTAAAAATTGTAAGTAGAGCATGGCATGATTAATCCTCTACTGGATGCATTGCTTTTTTTGAATAGCTTTAATTTCAGCGTACTTAAGATGGGAGTAGCTGGGTTGAAAAGAGCCTGAGCCGGAGTTCTGTGCCCCATTTCCACTGAAAGACGGCCCGGTCTGACGGCCGGCTCGAAGCGGGGCAGAATGGCCCGCCCTGACAAACAGAGGGGTTGAGTAACTGCAACGGAGAGGCCAGGAAGCATGAAGTGGGAAACGAGTTGAACTTTTACTTGCGTGTGGCTTCCTCCAGCAGAATGAGATGTGTTGCCAAGGTGGAGGATGAAGGGAAGTCTGCTTTGCCTGTAGTCTTCTGGCCTCTTCGTGTTTGACCTTATCACCTTTCCCAAGTTACCTTTGAAAACATGATTTAGAGACCAAGCATTTTATTTCTTTAATCGCTTTTGTAATTAGAAACTTACCATAGTCCAGAGCGTACTTGATATTAGACTCAAGATGGCAGATCTTAAATTATCATTTGGCTCCAAACTATCAACACTGCCTTAGTTTGAGTCACACAGACTCTGAAATCGTAGTGTGTTATTTGGCTTGCTTGGAAACCTTGGCGTTAGCACTGCAGATGCTGTTTGATTAAACCCTTGCTGACATCCGTGTGAACAGGAGAGGCTAAGTGAGCATCGTTGCAGAAATGAGCGGGGTCAGCCTGGCAGCCTGGCTCTGGACTCAAGGCGATGGTTATTCTGTCCTCTTCCCTAGGATTATATGCGTCAGGCAGGGGAAGTGACATATGCAGATGCACACAAAGGAAGGAAAAATGAAGGTGTGATTGAGTTCAAATCCTATTCTGACATGAAAAGAGCCCTTGAAAAGCTGGACGGGACAGAAGTAAATGGCAGAAAGATTAGATTAGTGGAAGACAGACCTGGATCGAGACGGCGCCGCTCTTACTCCAGAAGCCGAAGCCATTCGAGGTATGTCCCTTCATAACGTAGCTCAGCCTGAATCTAGCTGCGATTACATGAATATATAGCAGGTCCCAGAGCACCTGGGAAGAGCTGAGAGTTCTCCATAAATCTAGTTTTTTGAGAATGTATTGGTTACCTGCAAGTAGCTGAGGGAAATGAGGCCTCTGTTCAGAAGACCCCTTGGTGAAGGCGCGTATCTGCTAGCAGAGCGCCCGACACCATGCTGCTGTTCTTCCCCAGCTACGTCAGGCCCGTGGGTCTTGCAGGAGGAGGCTGCGTGGCCGGTGGAGCCGTGCCTGCAGGATGTAACAGAAGGTGCTGCTAACACTTTGCTCTGAACGTTGTGTTCTGCTGGAGCACCAGGACTGACGGTTCCTTGTCAGCTTGCAAACCCCCACCCATTCCCTGTTTCCTAGAGATTTGCGGCTTTCGTTGTATGAGCAAGAGAACTGCTTCAGCACACACCACCAAGTGTTTTCCCCTTCCCGTTCTGGGGTAGAACTTGTTGTCACAAGAAAACTCTGGCAACTTCTCCTGTTCGTAGAACAGCTTGCTTATGAAATCAGAGCCTGAAGTCAAAGCCTTATCCTTGTGTTTCACTATATTCAAACTCTGACTTGATTGGGAAGGTGATTCTCGCTTCCTTATCTTAAATAAAGTTGCATATTTTCCTCCAGATTATCAAGCCTGCTCACTTCCAGACATGGCAGCAGGGGCTGAGCAGTGGGGAGAAGAGTATTCTAAGTTTGTAACTATTGTCTAACGCTCTCATCCTTTGGCAGCTCGAAAGGTGCTTTAATGCGATGGGGTTTTTCCCACAGGGGGTCACAGGCTCTCCGTGGGCATGTGCTAACGTGAAGCTTGATTGATTTTGTTCCAGGTCTCGCTCTCGAAGCAGACATTCTCATAAGAGCAGGAGCCGCAGTGCCAGTAGTAGTCGCTCCAAGAGTAGATCAAGATCCAGGTATGTCTTTCTGTTGGAAGAAATGGGGGCTACCCACTTAAATGAGAAGCATCATCCTAAATTCGCAGTAGGACCGCTGTTTGTTTTTCTTTTCCCTAACGCCTGATGCACACTATTTAAGTTCTAGTCAAATCCAAGCCACGCTAAAGTGGAGCTGTCTGTTGCCTTTGCGCTTTCAGGTCTGTGTCCCGTTCCAGAAGCAAGAGCCGTAGTCGAAGCAAGAGCCGTAGCAGAGGCCAAAAAGAGAAAAGCAGGACTCCAAGTAAAGAGGATAAAAGTAGGAGCCGCAGCAGGAGTGCAGAGAAGTCCCGAAACAAAAGTAAAGATAAATCTGAGGGCACTCTCCATAACAGTGATGAGAAAGCAAAGAGCAGGAGCCACAGCCAGGAAAAGAGTAGGAGCAGGAGTGGGAGTAAGGACAGGGGGGAGCCGAGGGAGAGCATGAGGAGTAGGAGCAAGGAGAAGAGTAGAAGCAAAGACAGGGAGAAGAGCATTAACAAGGCTAGAAGCAGGAGCAAGAGCAGGGATGAGAGTAGGAGCAGAAGCCACAGTAAGGATAAAAGGAAAAGTAGGAAGAGAAGCAGGGATGACAGCAGGAGTAGAAGCAGGAGCCGCAGCAAGAGTGAGAAAAGCAAGAGGCGCAGCAAGCGAGACAGCAAACCAAGTAGCAAGAAGAAAAGGAAGGACAGCCGCGAGCGGTCCAGGTCAGCCTCCAAAGAAAAGGAGCATCTAAAATCAGATTCTGACAAAAAGGAGGCAAAAAGTGAGGGTGAGGATGCAGCCGCACGTCAGGGGTCTCGCTCCAGATCTAGATCTATTTCCAAGTCAAAACCAAATGTTAAATCAGATTCTCGTTCCAGGTCTAAATCCGTTTCCAAGCCTAGGTCCCGGTCCAAGTCTAGATCTAGGTCTGCCTCTAGGTCACGCTCCCGATCACGGTCAAGGTCTCTCTCCAGATCCTAACCTTGCTGCAGCCACACTTGGAACAGTCGGGAAAGTCTTTTGTACATGTTTAGTAGTTGTAGCGCAAGTGATTGAAGTAGAAAACCTGTTGATGCTGTATATTTTTAACAACCCTGATGGTATGTCTGTCGTTAACAGCAGCGCTCCCTCCCTGCAATGCTTACTGGTGCAAGGCTGTTCAGCTTGTTTTCTAGCCGACAGAAAGGTTCTTTTTAAATATAACTCTTCCTAGAGCCTCCAAATCGCCCTGTTTTCTGGGAAGAGCCTTGCAGAGAATGAGCGCTGCGCCTTGGTGGCTTTATGAGATGGCAGTGATGACTGATAGGTAGGTACGACGGCTTCAGCAGTCTTTGCCCTTGACTTGATGCCCTTTGATGTATGCCATTTAGTGGAAGTGCTAAGTCTTAAGTTTCATACTACTTTTTTGTTTCCTATTTTTTTGACTTACAAAGTTGTGAATAGCACAGTCAAAAGAAAAAAACAAACAAACAAACAAACCACAAAATAGGTACTTGCAGTAATCCATAGGGAAAAGTATAGTTCCATATTCTGGTATTGTGACAATATCCTTGTTTTATATTAAATTTTTTTATTTTATTTTTCCCTGTCTTGCAAAGTACAGTGACTCCTGTTTCCATGAAATTTGAATAAAGACTATTTTTGCTTGATGACATTTGGTGGTGGTTCTATGAAGTTGTTGTGATTGTTGCTGTTTCGTATCGATCAGTGTAAGCTTGAATTTGCAGAGGAGTTACTCGCAGAGAATGGGTTCTTGGTTTAGAAAGCTACTTTAAGATTAAATGTTGTCAAGGAACTCGAATACAATCCAGTTAAAATAACTCATTTCTCCAGCAATGTTTATTGTGGTGTTTGGAGCTTTGACATTGCGATGAAGAGAAGATTACAGGAAGAGGAACCAGAAGCAATAATGAAGGTGACAAGCCTGTTTGCCACTGTCTGTGTAAATGAAATGTGGTGAGCTTCAGCTTCCACAAGACAAGGAAAAAAATTTTTTTCACCTAGTTCACTTGCTCCACACCAGGCAGCTGAAATCATGGTTTGTCCCACGACGTTCTACGTGTTGCACAGCTGCTGCTGGAGGGAAGCGCAGCGGGCACGGGCAGCGTGCTGGTCTGCTCTCTGCTTTCTCCTGGAGCTCATCAGTTCAACTGTCTCCTCTTCCACACCGTCGGCCTTGCTTACGGTACCTTTGGGAAACCAAGGGGAAAGAAGCGTGATGCTTTTGCAGGTGTCTTTCCAGTCTCGCACGCTCAGCAGGGGAACACGAAGCTCTCCCAGCTGTTTGCTTCTGCTTCTTCTTTGATTTCGTGATCCCTGATTGTGAGTTTAGGATTTCAGTCATGAACTTCTGAACAGGAAGGTGTTCGTCAGACCCAGGCGGGAGGAGGATGTTACAGGCTTCGACAGCACAAACCAGCCTTTGCTCTGGGCACTGCGCAGCAGCCAGTGTTTGTCTTAATGTCCCCCAAAAATGCGGGAGGAGTTATAGCTTGGGGATTTCCAACTATGGATTGAAGGTTTGGTTCATGTATGGCCCTTTCCTGGAAGAAAATCCATCTGCTCTGGATTTGCAGTGTCCGGACAGGCTCTGCCATCTAACTGAAATTCCCTAGCGCTTGCTTTTCCAGTCCAGCTTCTCTAGTTCCACCAGAGCAATTAGTCTGTCACCTCAGCTTGTCTCTTCTCACAGTGTTTTCCATGAGTTTTTCCTCCTAATAAAATACCCGTGCCTGGGGGGAACCTTTATAAAAGAAAAGGAGTGTGGGATGTGGTACTGAGGAGCTCTGGGCTGGGAGCTGCTGGGCTTGGGGGTGCTGCTGTGGTCACATGTCCCCAGCAGCCCTGCGGACGTGGGGGGAAGGCAGCAGCTTCCAGCGGGAGTTTTGTAGATATTCCTGAGATATCCCAGCTTTAGACTCGGGCCGTCAGCAAATTGCTCAAACGGAACTTGCCACAAGCTCTGCTGTTGCATGGGTGGCTTTGAATGAAGAACAGGCGGCCCCAGTACCCCGGTCTGCCTGCCAGCAGTGTTCCAAAAAGAAAAAATATATTTTGTGAGTTCTTACTTGGTCTGGAAAAAAGAAATTAGTTATGGCTTTATCAAAAACTTTTCTTTAGCAAATTTCAAACTGCTTACAATACTTATGACAGTAGTTCTCGCGGCTAGATGTTAACTTCATAGGTGCAAGTAATTCTGTATAATTTGATCCTTTGAAACTTGTACTGCCATATTAAAAAGATGAAAAGGCGATAGATCAGAAGAATTGCTTTCAACACGAAATATTTCCGTAGAGTTGAAGAGGGGTCAGGGCTTGGTGAGTGGCTCAGACTTTATCAAATGTCATATTACGACAGCGGCATGAGAAAGCTCGGCAGAAGTGATATTTAATTTCTTTAGAAGTAAAAGCCTTTTTCAGCTATATATATTTAGTGCTTTAACATCTTAGGCTCTCATAATAACATTTCTAATCCCTTTTGCTGCTTAATCTTAGTACAGCAGCAAACCAGGCTAGGCAAGATGTTTGCTAATGGGGGATCATTAGCTTAAAAACACCTTCAAGAAAATCTGCAAACGATAAAGTCAAGGCTAAGACTTTAAAAAGCGACTCTGGCTTTTGCTGTCTGGCTGCCAAGGCTGCGCCTAATGCAGCGAGCGTGGTTTCAGTGAGCCCTTGGGGAGAAAAGTTTTTCCCTGAATACCTGAAGACGGGCCTTCGGAGATGGAGGTATGTGGGAAGCTTTTGGCCGAGGTGGTGTAAATTTTCCTTGTGTGCAGCAAGGGAATCCTTGAGGCTGCGTGCGTGGGCACCTCGGGCGATGCTGAGGGTGCGGAGCCAGCACCCGCCCTGCTGCGGGGTTTCCGTGTGCGAACAGGGCGTTTGTGTGGGGGTTTCATATAATTAATTGTGAGTTCCCTGCTTTTGTTCCTACCATTTTCACAGCAGGTGAATGATTCTGGCAAGCAAATTATCAAGGACTAGAAAAAACAAGTTTTGATTAAAAAATAAAAGAGGTTTGAGAGTTGGGCAGCCTGCGGTCAGTGCCTGCCTGCCCCAGTCTCCGCTGCTGTGTCAGGAGGAGCCTTTGGCTTATGCTTACGGTGCCAGCTCTTAAAATCACTGAAGCAATTAAAGATGCACCTATTTGGAAGCACCAGAATTTCAGTAAGAATTATAATTTCTGGATTTCAGTAAGAATTCGGTCACCTACCGGAGACGGGGCCTTCTGCAAAGCGCAGGGCTGCTGAACTGCACTCCGGGCTCCCACCGCCTCAGCAAACCGTGCTCCGAGGCTGTGACCCAGCTGGATTCGTCCTGAATGCGAGTGACCCCAGCGAACACCCAGGACACATCTCACACTTGACACGAAGCCTGTGCTTCAGCACTTGCTACGATTCGGCTCTGCACCCTCACATGCTTTGGTTTACCCCTAAAGACCTAAGCAGGGGGATGCAGTGACGGGGTGACCCCCGCAGCAGCATTGCCCCCATCCCCAGCGCAAGCTGCTCTCTCAGGCTGCCCAGCCCTGTTTTTGGCTGCCGGGAGGTTGCCGTAGCTCTGGCTGCTCACATGAAGCTACAGACAGAGTCAGGAACACGGCTGTGCCACCAGCGCACGTGATGCAGCTACGGCTCGTGCTGAGCACCCGCTCGGAAAGGATGTGGTGGGAGCAAGGGGAGGGAGAGCGGCTTCCTGAAGAGGAGATTTCATCGGCTGCAACCAGCAGGAAGGTGAAAAATTAAACCCTTGCACCAGCTCTGGGCTAGGACTCTCCTTGGGTGTCAAATACCCCAGTGTCTTCCTGCAGCAAGGTCCCAGTGCTGGCAGCAGGACCAGCAAGGGGCTTTTCCAGGGCTGCATCCCGACGTGTCTGGCTCCAGGGAAACCTGGTGATGCTCCCGTGGGGTGGAGATGATGGGGAGGTTTTCAGCCCCTTCTTGCACCAGCTGCGTGGCCTGGGGTGTTGGAGCAGGGATTTCCAGGGTGAGGACATTTTGGGGCATCTTATTGCCGATAATTAGGCTGCAGCATCATTCAGTGCCCCCGCGGCAGGGCAGTGACGGCACTGGGTCTCCGCAGCAGCGCGGGTCACTGCAGCGCGCAGTGGTGGGCACAGGCCTCAGCCGGGTCCCTGCTGTATAATTTAATGTTCCTTTCTGTCTCACAGGTGTCTGAACGTCTCTGAGTGCATCTCCCCTGCCAATTTTGCATAAAAGTGTAGGTTTTGCGTCAAAACCTTCGGCTCATCCAGCCCAGTGGTGCTGGCACTTAGCGGTTCCCAGCCTGGAGCCGCGGCAGTCACGGTGCCGCACAACGGGCTCGGGAAACCGCAGGGATGTAGCTGGCAGCAGTTGTGAAGCCAGTGCAGTAATGGTAATAATAATAATAATTTAAAATAAGAATATTGCATGGCTGGAGCGGCAGAATCAGTGGAATGTCTGCAATAGTTTTGCAATATTTCCAAGCAGTATTTCTATTTGAATAATTGAATACAAGCGAGAAGCCAGCTTTAGGATGGAGATGTCTACACAGAAGCGCTGAAAGAGAGTCCTAAAATCTGATTTTGGGCTGGGAGAACTGCGTCAGGGGAAATGCAACCTGTACGAGAGCTCTGAGGAGGGAAAGGGTAAATTCATCAGGCAGGCCATCCCCTGAAACAATCGGTCAGACCAGTGAGATAAACGGATGAGAAGCCCCATAATAGGCATCTCTCGATTAAATTACAGCAATTAAAACCAAAATAAGAGTCTAAATAAACATGGGGAGTTGAGTTAGCTGTAACTCTTTCGGCTCCTCACCGTCCC